GGTTAGTTAAGTTCAGGGGAGGGGTGGAGGCGAATAAACAATAGCAGCATGGGTACATTCCGAAACATGGAAGTTTTTGTTGCATGTGTCTGTGCGAGCTGGGGATTAAAAAAGAGCATTTAAATTTTAATGTTTCTAAAGTGCAAAACTGAGTGTTATGCAACTGTGTAAAACCAGGGCTGTACGTCATCCAGTCAGCCGTCCTCAAGCCTAACTCATCCAACTACACACATGCATGCACACTCCCATACAATTCCTCTCACTACTCAAGTGGGGGAGTGTGTATGTGTATCTTCCTCCCCATCCCTGTGATTACTTCATATGCTATCATATCCTGCTCCAAGCATACGTGATGTAAGAGGCTGAGGTGAAGGGGGGGAAGGAAGATGTTTGCTTTGGTGCATGCATGAAAGAGGTATTCCACAGCTGCCTGCGGTAAGAATCCACTCCAGGGATTCACAGTAGGCTGCAAAGGTAATCAGGCAAGCCACTGTACCACCAACACCGCTGCTCCTGCTGCAGAGGCCGCATCACGCCAGCCAACCTACATCCTCAGTGCAACAACTTTCCAACATACAGCTGTTACACATCACAAGGGCTCTTCAGTAGAGGTGCATTTTCATTTTTCTGTTTTTATGTCAAGTAAAATTCATGAATTGTGTGTTAATCCTCACTCTCAGTCAGGCTCAATTATATCCAGCCCCAGTGATCAGTTTAGTGACAATGCCATCCCATCACTGTATTACAGATGGCCTGACTGAATGAGCAGCTTTGATAGGGGTATTCAGAAGCTGGTTAGATGCAGTAGAAAAATATCTCCATCTGCTGTCATTGCAGTTAATATTTTGCCTTTTAGGATATGAAACTAGATCTAATTCAGTTTATTGCTGATTATAGAAACACCAAACGTCCTATGCATAAAATTATGAAAAAAAACACCTGTGGGAAAAATCTGTTACATTAATACTGATGGCATTAATGCATTCGAGTTAGAAAAGAGTTTGTGTTGCAGTCAAACCCCCAAAGGGAAAAACTGGAAAAGCTTAATCCGCTCTCTGTAAAAACGTGTACCTTCCAACAAATAGGAGCAAGCAAATAATCCTAAGGATACATGGGGCCTCGCAGGACTTTTAATATTGTTGGACCTTTTCCCTTTTTTTTTACCTTACAACCAGAAGCTTTAGTGCATTTTGATTACAATATTTGTAAAGTCAACCCAAAATAGTCTACATTTGTAAAGTGGGAGTAAAGAATACATGAGTTTAAATATATTTTATAGAAAGAAAACTGAAAAGTGTGTTCTTTATATCTATTAACGACGATGAAATTTGCACCAGCTGAAAGTATTTATGAAAACCTATACTTGGTTTGGCTGATTTTACATGGCCTGATCCTTTCCACAACTTTGAATGCCTTCCTGTCTCTGCTGAGGAAAAAACATCCTTACACCATGATGCTGCCACCACCATGTTATGTAAAAGGACTTTGTGTTCAACATATTTTATGCCACACAAAGTTTTGCATAAGATCAAAAACTTATGTTGTAGTTTCTTCTGACCTGAGTACCTGAGTTTCCATGTGTCTGCTCTGGGCCCTTTATGTCAAACTACGGTACTTAGAAAATGTAGTTCAGATTTCTTCCTTTAGTTTTGCAAAACTAGTTGAATGTATGACTCAAAGCTATTGTGTGAACAGTCTAGTCCACCTGATACACGGAGCTCCTCCAGTTAAGATTCCTCTAAATAATGCTCTGCTTGCCCAGCCTCACAGTTTAGGCAGACTGTCTTGAAAATGTTCCAGCACCTTGTCTATTTTTAAGGGTAGACTTGAAAATTTGCTTTTTGATAAAGCTTATAGTTAGAGTGGCTGAGGTTATCCAGTGCTATCTCTATAGTTATGTTGCTATAGGCTTAGACTGCTGGAAGACATAGGGACCCCTTTTTCATAATTCTGCTTCATTCTATCTCTAATCCCATTCTGCAGAATTTGTTAGATCAATCTCTAATGTTACGCTCTCTCTGCTTTTTCTCATTGTAGCTTCATCTGGTCTGTTCCTTTTTAGCTGTGACACCAGCTGTGCTGCTGCCATCTACACCTTTGTTTATAGATGTTGGAGCTTGGCTTGTTTCAGTGTGGTCCTGATTCTCTGACTGTGACTAACTGTTTGTGCTCTGACATGGGAGCTGGCTGAGAGCTCTGCTGTCTGGCTGCGTGTTTCTTGCACAAAAATAAGCATCTCTGCTTATTTTTCTATGTCTGTTCTGTCTCCTTAAACCCCAGTCAGAATCGGCAGATGGCCGCTCACACTGAGCCTGGTTCTGCTGGAGGTT